TAGGGGCTGCTAAAATGACTTTAGGCATGGGATCCGATGATGAAAATATATAGTAGGGGTTCTAATACAATGCACATGTAAGAGTGTTTAGGGCACCAGTGGATTTATTTCCGGTTGTTTTTTAACTAAAGAGTTTCGGCCTAAAATTTTTGCTTGTCTGCTAAAAACTTTACTCGTGCTTTCTATTGCATCCAGACAACTATAAAATCATTTGTTTTGTGAAAATTTCTGAAGTAATAGCGAAAGCTTTGAAACTGTTATTTGCATCAAAGCATTATTTAGGTTGCCTGGTGGCATCTATATGTAAATTCTGAATTGTTTTATTTGAGTTCTCTTTAATCAGGTTGGCGCTCCAGCCCGTGTTGGCCTTGTTGCTCCTATCGATGTTGTTGTTCCTCCAGGCAACACTGGTCTAGATCCTTCACAGACATCTTTCTTCCAGGTTAGCAAAATCCATCTTTCTTTCATTCTTTTTTATGGTTATGTTTGTCTTAGATTTGTGCTCCTTAATACATATATTATAAATCCAGGTGCTCAACATCCCAACTAAGATTAACAAGGGCACTGTTGAAATTATCACCCCAGTTGAGCTGATAAAGAAAGGTGACAAGGTGGGATCCTCAGAGGCCGCATTGCTTGCTAAGCTGGGCATTAGGCCATTCTCTTACGGTCTTGTTGTCCAATCTGTGTATGATGATGGTTCAGTGTTCACCCCTGAGGTTCTTGACCTCACTGAGGATGATCTGATTGAGAAGTTTTCAGCGGGCCTTTCGATGGTCACTTCTCTTTCATTGGCGCTCTCTTATCCCACCCTCGCTGCGGCTCCTCACATGTTCATCAATGCGTACAAGAATGTTCTGGCTGTTGCTATCGCCACAGATTACACTTACCCACAGGCTGAGAAGGTTAAGGAGTATTTGAAGGTAGGGTTTTCTTAAGTAAATGCAGTGTGGTTTAGCAATCTGGATTCTTGATTTTTACTTTTATAGGAAGATTTACATTCTACTCAATTTCTGTGTTACATTTCTAACAACTAGTCTTCAATTTTTGCATGCATGTCAACCAACCTATGTATGAAATGGTTCATTGCATTTTTAGAAGTTAAAATTGTAGTATTTTTGATGTGATATGAAAAATGTGGATGGTATTAATGTGAAAAGTAAAGTTTTAATTGTTATATATGTAAGTACATTGGAATTTGGGTTTTATGTATGTAAATGCCCCTAATTTTTATGATCAATGTGATGCAGGATCCCAGTAAATTTGCTGCCGCGTCTCCAGCTGCAGCTGCAGCTCCGGCTGCTACTGCTGCGGCTCCAGCTGCTGCTGTGGAAGAAAAGAAAGAAGAGCCTGCTGAGGAATCTGATGAGGATATGGGTTTCAGCTTGTTTGACTAGTTTTATTGGCCTTCTACCAATCAAATTTCGCCAGTTGTCCTGGGGTTTCATTTTGCCAATACTGTTTCTGAGACTTTTGAGTTGGATTTTATTTTATTTAGCTTTGTTAGTAGTTTGAGCATAATGTTTTGTTTGTTTTGATAATTTATTGTTTGCTACGGATAGGTAACCGAAGACTATGTTTTTGCTGTACTTTTTTTCTTTATTTGAGCAAAATTTCTGCATCATTTTCTAGATTTGCTGCTTACAAGCCTGTTAAGTGTTTAGAGACCTGCTACCGTACGCCATATATCAGCAAAAACATGATTTTTAGGTGAGTAATGCTAGCTAAAAAAATTAATTTAAAAGTTTATTTAGACATTTTTGAATAAGGTGAATCGATGCGAAATTCTGAGTGTAGGAGTTATTATTAGTTCATCTGATTAAGTAGCTTTGGTGTGAGATGCGTTGGTAGGGTTCTTTTGTTTTTGTTTTGTGAGATTTACATGCATGCTTTACAATTTTTATTTATTTATACATCCAGTGCGCTAAACTTTGATATCATCTCTCATTAAACTTATCATGGAGGTGTTTTTTTGTGACATTAAAGATTTGAATAGTAATGCATGCAAACATGAATATTTAGTTATTAGATATTTAAGTACATGAGAATTGTGTGGTATGCACGCATGTAAGTGCTAATTGTTGCAAGGATATTGCAACTCCAGCTAGCCTTAGTAGGTAACGATTAT